TCCACAGCTTCTTCCCATCAGCATATACTAGTGGATGTGCCCTAATTCCAAAGGGGAAACAGGAATCCTGCCTCAGGAATAAAGGCAAGAATCCATGGCCCCAACGCCACATGGAAGATACCTCAAACGATTATTTGGTTCACAATCCAACACCAGAAAAGTAAGTAGCCCATATCATTTCATTTTTGTTCTTAACTAGTTTTAAATAAGTAGTCTTAAAATCACCTAGAATGAGGTTTCCAAAACAGAGGAACAAAGAGTCAGTATAATGAAACTTGGGGCAGAGAGAAACTCATCCTGGTAGTTTTGAGTCAGCCACATGCCATCCAGGCCTGAATTCCAGTGCATTCAGTTGACATGGAAAAACCCTTCCATTTCTCAGACCCCGTATCATTTTACCCTGGGCGGTGTGGTGTGGGTAAGGAGGTCAGGCATTGGAGACAGGCTGGGCTGGATCGCCTCTGGGCTCTGTCGCTCTCCACCCTGTGAGGTAAGATGACCTGGCTCTGTTCATCAGTTTTTCTCATCATTACAGTCTAGAACAGGGGTGGGCAAGCTTTTTGACTCGAGGGCCACAATGGGTTCTTAAACTGGACTGGAGGGCCGGAACAAAAGCATGAATGGAGTGTTTGTGTGAACTAATATAAATTCAAAGTAAACATCATTACATAAAAGGGTACGGTCTTTTTTATTTTATTTTAGTTTTATTCATTTCAAACGGGCTGGATCCGGCCCGCGGGCCATAGTTTGCCCACGGCTGGTCTAGAAGATTATTGGAAGGATTAGTTCCTGACACATGGTGGGCACTCAATACCCAGCGGGCATTAGAATTCCCACTCCTACTTTACCCTCCGTAGACTTTCAAGAGAAAAAGCAGAATTCACAGCAGATGGCCACAAACTGACTTCTCCCTGAAAACCACAGCAGGTGAGTCACCTGGGAAAGACGCCACCCTGCAGGACTAGTGAAACTAACCACAATTGTATATCATTGGCACCAGATGGAAACTTCAGAGAAAGGACACAGCAGAGTTGACTATCCTAAGAGACCTTCCTGTTGGCTCTCAGAACTGGCCTTCTCTTGGCCTCTTTCAGCCTGGCATTCTTAGGACTGCTTTTCGCATCTCAAAGTTATGCTCCAAATGTTCCATTCCCATTCCTCTTTGTCACTTTCCCACCCATGACTGGAGCCATTTATTGTTTGCACAAGTCAGATGACCTGGGCAGTATCCAAGTCATGTCCCAGATAACACACCTAGCCCTAACCCCAGTGCACCTCCACCATCTCCACTGTTTAAAAGAAAAATGTTCATATGTCATTGACTACACAGAAAGCACATGCATACTACGATTAGTGCGAGTGATCTCTGTACACTCATTGACATAAACATAGGAACATTCAGATGCACTAAATTAAATAGGTGTTTGGATGTAATTTAGGCACTGGTAGAGACTGAAGGAAGAACAGATAGGAGTAGTTTATCCCTAATCAGGAGAATGAAGGGAAAAGAAACATTTTAAAAACCTCAGTGGGTTCTCTTTGCCTTAACCGTCCTCCCCTCAACGCTGCCCCAATACACACACAGACACACACAGAAATTTCCCCCCCCACACACACACACCCACAAAAATAACTCTGGGGAAAATGTAGCCATTCCAAGTGAATCTCATAAAAAAACAGTCCAATGGGGCAGAATCACAGGTGTCATGCTTTGTAGATCCGAAGCTTTATCTGCCTCAGGCCCACACACAAGTCCTCAGTCTCATGGTGAGACAGCTATGTCACTTCCATAGACAGAGAGGGGCATGATTTCCAAATATGCAATATCTTTTCCCTTAATTAAGCAGAGAAAAGAACATTTTACTAGAAACCCAAAGAGCAAAATAAAGACTTTAAATCAAGGCTCTAAATAATGGGTTGAACACATGAAAAAGCAATATTCTGGCTGTGGACCTCTCCCACCAGCTTGCATCGTTAGCATCGGGGCCCAGTTTCAATAGCAGCTTTGTAGCCCAGATGGCCAGCACCGCCATCCAAGGGCCTCCCTGCTCCAGATAAAGACGGAGTGTGCGAACGCCTGGGAGTGCGTGTGCGCACAAGCTCCTAAGTCCTCACTCCATTTATAGATCCAACAACTATCATTTTCAACCATGAGTCCCATGAAAAGAACATCTTTTTATGCCTCTATCCTTTTCGCAGATTCTTCCTACAGATGCCCAACCCAGCTTTCCAAACCTTGTATCTAAATGTATAAAGGAATTTCTTTTGTATCCAGAAGAAGTATACGCTCATGTATAAACTAGGTATAAATGATCACCAAATAACAGCGGTGATTAGAATCAAATGAAACACCACTGTAGCAAAATGCCTGCCTACATAAAGTAAGTGTCCAGGTATCATTTACAATGCCTTCTTTCCACACTAGCCTCAATCTGAAGACCATTACACATACACACCTGTGTCTGTATCACACAAAACCATGCTCACCAGCTGTGACTGACAAGGCAGGGCGGGTCCCAGCTCTGCTTTTCAATTTTATCAACTCCATCTGTGGTTAATATAGGATTTTTCTTTTCTCCTTTCCCTCCCTAAACTCTGCCATCAGAGCTACCACTGCTGAATCACTGTTAATGTTCCATTTCTTCTATTACCCTTTAACACTTCACAGAATGAATCTCACGCTCCCATCAACAGTAAGGCCTCGCTTAACACTGTCTCTACGGTTTTGGAAACTGTGACTTTAAAGCAAAATGACATATAACGAAACCAATTTTACCAAAGGGTAAAAAAGGTATAAAAAAGAATTAAGCTCCTATGCCATATTTCTCGTAACAAAAACATCACCAAAGTTCTAATTAAAGACCCAAAATACTTCAAATATTAAACGTTGAAATAAATGTTAGCTATACATGGATTTAAGGAAAATTAATACAAACAAAGGGTCCAGTTAAGGGTAGCAGGTGGCTGGAGCCTCTCCCGGCAGCTCAGGGCGCAGGTGAGAATCCACGATGGACAGGATGCCCTTCCATGGCAAGGCACACTAACACCCACACACAGACTGGGACCACTTAGCAATGCCCTTCACTTCATGTGCACATCTCTGGGGTGGGCATAGGAGTGGGGATGGGGGTAGGAGTGGGAGTGGGACTGGAGTCCCTGGAGAAAACCCACAAAGAGATAGGGAGAATGTGAAAACTCCACAGATGGTGGCCCTAGCCAGGAATTGATCCCCCTCCCCACCCCATCAACATTATAGCCAAACTAGCTGAATGAAACAATGCTACTTGAGGCCCTGCTATATTTACTTGCAGGTGATGGGGTAGGGCATAATGAATATATTAGTTACAAAGTATCTGTTTTTGTCTAACTAGTAAGGGTTACTTTGGTCAAAAAAGAGCAGTTTTTCAAACTACTGGTATCTGGGAGGCCTCACCATATGTGAATAGCATTTTAAAACGTTTTTTTTTAACAAATGGAATAGAAAATACCTGTATGCACTACATATAGAAGGGATTGGTACTATTTCATGAAACTTTTGTCTGAGTTACATACATATCCATGTGAGGGTATTGATTGTGATGTAAAATTCATTTCATAGGGTGGGTCACAGTCAAAAAAAGTTTGAAAGCCAAAAAGGATGGGGCCAAGGAACAGTCAGAATGGCCTGGTCTCCTCCCCACCCACTGCCACTTTCTGTGTCTTGCTGCTTGATAATCCCTGACCAAAGTTACAGCATCCTGCCAGGGCCTCTCTCCTGCCTGTCTGCACCCCTACCTCACGGTCCCAAAGCATGGCACCCATAAAATTCTTCATAATGGGATCCCTGCTCATTGTTGGAGGACCAGGAGGGGAATTCCAGGAAGAAGCATTACCTATATCCTTCACTAATAGGCACTCCACGTTCCAGTAACTTCACTGGAGTTGTGGACACAAAGACACACCTGGGCTTTCTTAAACCATAGAATCACTCAGCTCTCCTGCCTCCAATAATGACCACAAAGCAGCTCTCTCAGGGAGGGGCCCCTGGCGGCCAGGACCAGCTGAGAGAGGATCTTCACTCACTCTGACCCCCGGGAAGTCTCCCACCACCACAGTGTACACCTCCTGACTGGGTGGCCGGCTGAAGGTTATGTGCCATCACCCTTCAATCGCCAAATAACCCAGCAAGAGCCTCCCTGAGTAGGTTTCCTTTTTCTTTCCTCGTTCTCCAGCTCAGTCCCTCAATCCTATCCCTTGATGCCGCCAGCATTAATTCCGCAAAATAATGTCAGAGAAAGTAAAGTTGGCTGCTTGCAAAGTTACCGGCAGGGCCAGGTGGGGAGCGAGGGCGGGAAGCATAGGACACTGGTTTCAGGAGTTACCCTGGGGGCGGGAAGGGGGGGCGGTCTAGCTCTTTAATGGGGAAAAAAATCCTTTTAGCCAAACAAGAAAACAAAAGCCACAAACAGGACCCTCTATCGGAGCAGCACAAACACGACAGCGAGGATGGGCGCGCGGGCTGCGAACTGCTGAGCAGCAGCCTGACGGGAAGGAGAGAGGGTCGGAGGGCACTAGGAACAAAGCCCCGCGTCCCGCGCCCCAACTCC